AGACTTCCCTCCTCTGTACTGCGGATGCCTGCTGTCGCCACTGATGACTGGTCCCTCCCATATATACAAACGAGCAGGTAACTTCAACTACTATCTACAGTATAAAGCAGGTTAAAATTTGGGCCAGAAATCATTCCTTTCAGCAGCCTATTCATTTCAAACAGTGCAGTGTCTGAAGAGCAGGGCTGGGCTTTTCCAGGCGAGGATGGTGAAGGTGGCCGGCTCCTGGTTCAGCCACGTGGTTGGTGCTGGTGGGCAGCGCACAGGCAAGAGCTTGGGCTCCTACCAAGTCACCAGCACGGGCTTACACTGCCGCTGTGCTAATGCTGGAGCAGGGCCCATCCCAACCCACGGCGTACCCATCCCAACTGCTCCCCTTCTTCCTCCCCCCAGGGAAGAGCACCGTGCGGGTTTCAACCCTTAGCAAAGATTCCTCCTGAAAAATCCCACATCTGCCAATAGCGAGACATAGCAGCAAGCATTGGCAGCACGTGCAGCACCGGCAAGCAGGCAGAGATGGGATAATGGCACTTTTCCCTTGCACATATAGATGGGGTGAATTTAGAGGCCACCCTGGGCTCTTGCCTGCAGGGCCAGGCTACAACATGAGTTTCAAGTCACCTGTTGTGAACTGGGGCTGTCATGGGAGGAAATACAGGGAAAGGAGACAGTAGGGCAGAATGAAGCAACCCCTCCTGGCATCCTCACATAGCACTGGCCTTGGACCTGAACTAACACTCATGAACCTGCGGAGGCCTCAGGGCAATCACCAGGGTTTCTCCAGGGAAAGTGAGCCACAGCTTAATGGAACTGCGGCGACTGCATGCATAGAATAATGGAATCCTAACATATGCGTGCAATGAGCAGGGATCCCTGAAAGCAGGGATTTTCTATGGGCAAAGGAATGAATACGAAGGAGTGTGGGAGTGCTGAGGTTAAAGGGAACTCATAAGAGCTGGCAGAACTGCTCCACCTCATCCCAACACGATGCAGAAATGGAAACAAACATCTCACTAGAGGCACATGGTTTCCCAACAGGCCCCAGGCAAAATCCGGGGCGATGAACTTCAAAGGAAGAACAGAGCTTCCTCGGCCTCAAGCAGGAGGACTACACCAAGGCCCTGTTTCCCAGGGTGGCCTCAGTCTGGGGCCGTGGAGAGAGTCTGAAGCCAGGTTCTGCAGATGGCCATAAGTGCCCCTATCAGCAACCGCAATACCACCGACAGCCAGGGTGTGGGGGACACCCTGATCTCCACTGCTCTGGGAAGTGCTGAACTGGGAATGAACCAATGCACAGACCTTCAAAGAGAAAATTTTATGGACGCTTTTATACACATACACAAATATTTTAATATAATGGTAACTGAAATATTATCCATATTCTTAGTACTGTCATAATTAACTAAAAAGATATTTTTTAAATTTTGTAAAAATGACATATTTTACACATCTTCTATTTACAATTGCAATATACTTAAATGTTATAAAACATCCACTCTGACCTTTAAAATATATGTATACTAGGACTTAGTATTAGATATATTATAATTTATAGCAAACCTAGGGTTTGCTGTGTACCTATCTGTTCAACGGGATTTCATAATCAGCCTGGCTTAATAAAGGCTGTTCAAAACCAAAAATTGACAACAACAAAAAAAAAAAGATAGGGAATGTGCAAATACTGGGGCAGGCAAAAGAATAAAAACAGTATCAAGCTTGCAGTTTTAAAAAATAACACCGTGAAGACTTCCAATAAATTAAAAACATAACCCACAAATCTTTTTCCTGGCATTGTCCATGATCAAATTAATTTTCAGTACTATTAATCTAAAAGGAAAAAAAAACCCCAAACCCAACCACCCCTCGCCACAGCCACCCCCGGCCTTCCCAAGGCCGTGCATTCCCCGCACAGTCAAGCATCAGGATTTGCCGGGGTGGCTGCTGCTGGCGCAGATGAGCTGGCTCTATTGACGACTCGTGAATAACTGCGCTCCATTCCTTGCTGTTTTGCCGAGTCCTCCTTGTAGACAATCTTTTAATAAAAAAGAAAAGAGTGAGAGAGATCTGAACAGTTTCGTGCCTGAATTGTTCACTGTCTAACCAAGTGTTCACTGTCTAATCAAGGATTGCCCATTTTTTATTTATTACACAATGATGCTAAAGACCTGACAGAGGAAAAGGACTCTGCCCGGGGACCCAGAAGTGACCGGAGGCTGCAGTGAGATGGAGGATGTCCTCTGAACTGGAGGGGAATGGGGCTGGGCTGGGGTAACTGGCTTCTGCCAGGTGGTGCTTCATGGGGTTCCCTGAACTACCTTTCTTTAACAACTCTCATACAAACACAACTGAGAAGTCACCTACATTTTATAAACTCAGCAGACACCTGCACTAGCACCTACTGAGCGTGGTACAGACCAGCCCCAGCTCTGCCCACGTGGTCATTTGGGGCATGCAGCATCCCCACCAAGCTTCACATGCATGGCAGCTGAAAAATTATGCCCATTAGGCAGGGTTTGGACCAACTGCCAGGCTGAGGCTGTAGGCAGAGCTGGACTCTCGGGGAGGAGCAGTGGCAAACACTTGCTCTGCCCTGCCCTAGATATAGGCTTTAGCAAGAAAGATGTATTTTTTTTTCTGAAGAAGTTATTTTTAGCCTTGGTAATAGCTATTTTTCCCCACTCACTTCTATAAATATGGACTGAAAACCTGCTCTCTTCCATGGGGCACTATGTTGAAGCATCCACAGCAGAGACATGGGCCACCCCCACTGACCACACAGCTGTCAGTGGTGGGAGAGAAACCTCCCCCCTTCAGAAAGTTCCAGGCCTAATCTTATGCCATCAACCCCCAGTTATCCCCAGTCAGGGTTGCAGGTCAACCACACCACATTTATTACTTGGGCAGACATGACCACGCGGCCCCCATGTACAGCTTGCAACTGGGGAGGGAGCTGCCCCCACGCCGCAGGCTGGAGCAGGAGGAGGAGGAGCAGCACTGGGACTCAGGCACTGCCTGGCAGTAGCTGTATGGCCACAAGCAGCATGGTGGGTCGGGCTGTGGGAAGGGGACCACGCTCATGGGACAAGGGGGGCTTGGCTTAATTGATACCTTCCTATGCCATTTGTCCCTAGCCCTTCCATCTGGCCACTTTTGCTACTACTGGCACATGCTTTTGCCTTAGGAGGCTCTTGTCAAGCTGCCCCGCTGACCTCCCCAAGCTCATGACTAGGATCCTAAAGAACATGCGTCTCAACACTGCTCGTGGACAATACACTACACATATATCTTGTCCTTTTTTTTTAACTCCCTGAGCAAGGGAGTCATTAGACATGAAACTAAACAAATGTACCGAGTAGAAAAACCAGAAAGTGAAGAAAGTACATGACATTAAAAGAAAAAATAGATGTAAGAAAAATGAACATACCACTTTTGGCTATAGTATTGAGGGAAATGTTAGACAGGGAAGAAGAGAAGCTGTATAAGCAAGGACCATGACAGAGCTGTCAGAAAAGAAAAACAAAACAAAACAAAAAAAGAGAAAAACATATGGTGATGAAAGAGTCACTGTCAGTGGGTGAGCCAACGAAGCCCTCCTGAATACGACAATGGGAAAGATGGCAAACCTTACTGGTGGGAAGCACACAGCACAGTTACAACAGAGCCTCGAGCTTTCCAACTGCGAGATAAATGTTTCAGCCGCAATTTACAGCGTGTGATTTCTCCGAGGCAACATTCTGCTCAGAAGCAGGGGGCTCATGCATTCACTGCAAGAGGAGTAGAGTTTTCCCAAAAGTCACGCCACCTGGAAAACTGGGCTGTCACTTACAAGGCTGCCCCGCAGGGCTGCAAGTGGGAGACTGGTTTTCAGTGTGGACTTTCAAATTCAGACGATTTTTGTTAAACAGATGAGGATTTTGACTTTTGCTGGATGAACTCTTAACTTATTAACATATTAACACTGTTATGTACAAGTAATTTTCTATTATTTAGTCTTTTCATTTACATGAAGAAAATGCAGAGCTCACCAACATAAATACAGGTGTGAGTATTGAACAGAACTCACCAAATATTTTATGAATGCTGAAACTCATGGGCTGCTCATGCATCATTTAAGTTGACCATACATTTTCCATTCTTGTGAGGAACAGTAGTTCGCACAAGACATATGGTACTGCCTATGCACATTGACTGGATGGCCCAAATAACTTCCATGGCAGAGGCATGAACACTGAGTAACAAATGATACCCTTAATACTTACGTATTTAATATAACAAACAGCATTAAATGTTAGTTATGACGAAATTACTGGAATGCTTGAGGTTCACAAATCTTTATACACCTAAACAGGAATGGAGAATAGAACAGCAACCACCATGGAGCTCGACCCCCACCTGGCATACACCAAGCCTTCAAAGCAATTACACAGCTTTACACCTTGGGGAAAACTAGCTCTACTCCACCATAAGAACAACCATGGGCCAAAAATTCTGGAAAATTTTTGTTCTCTTCACATGTGAAAATGAATAGTAGAGCATTGTCTAATGGGGTGCCAACCAGATGCTTCTGTGAGATGCCACCACCAATACCAATGGTTAAACAAAGTAACTCTGTACGCAAACAGCGCTTATGTGTGCTATAGGCAACTGGGAATGCAGTGCAACTGCTATAGAGTACGTATTTCTTGGTGCAGGCTAAAGTGGCCTCCTCACAAGCATGCAGAGAAATAATTAAGCATGATTTAATTTGCACTTTACTATGCACAATCACTCAATATTTAAATTAAAACAGGAAACATAATAAAAATATCTGCATAGAGACAGGAATAGAATAGCTGCAAGTGTGCACTGAAGCCCAGTTCAGCATTTTGGGATGCATTTCGTATCATGTAGCCATGCACGCTCACCCTTCTGAAGCTGCTAACAGCTGACAGACTTTTAACACGACATGTATTTTGACAGTGTACTTAAATACAAAAAAGAAGTAACTCTTGCTCTGAAAGCTGAATACAAATAGAAATGATAAAGATACCTCCTCCAGTTATAAGCTAGGTCCTAAAGCAATTTACTGTTTTAATTAAATACATCACAGCTGTAGGATAAAGGAAGCAAAGCATAAACCACAAGTTTAACTGATTAACTTTCTATGCTTCTAGACTTCAGTCTGCATTTAGCCTCATGAGCGTTCAACTTTTCAATACGTAGCAAGACAGGTAAGACGACAAATCTTTGTTGATCAATCAGATTCATTATATATAATACAGCTGGATTTAAAAAAAAGGGGGCAGGGCGGGGGGAAGAGTAAACTATGTTTTCTCAGTGACTTGCAGTGCCAGGTTTTGCTTCTAGTATTTTACTCTACAGCTTCATTCGTTGCTAGAAGACACAACTAGCCACCCTCGTTCAGCCCAACCAGCACCAGAATAGATGATCTCACCTGTTCATTCATAACTGCAGACAGCTCGTTGAGCATATCCTTATAATGAGACTTCATCTCTCCCTGGTATTCAAATTGGTCCTCCTTAATAAGGCGTTCGTTGACATCAAGAGCATGTCCACATGCTTCTGCAAATTGCCTACAAGCACAAAACCATACACAAAGAACAACCATACACATTTTGTAGTAATGAAATATCTATACATATACACACACCACTGTACTACTTCTCACCCTTGCAAATTACAACTTTGTTAGAAGTGCACTTCAGAACTCATCCTCAGATCAAGAATAATGCAGGCTCCTAGGACAGCCCAAAACTTCAGTAAATATTTTCTTGGGAATGACTTGTAAGACAGGGTAAATGCAGATGTAAACCAGCCTGGTTCAATTCAGCCTGATTTCATGTTACATCTACTCATGTTACTCATACTATGCAGAGGGTGGAAAGTCTAAACTTAATGCTTACCTGAAGATTTCCTTCAGAAGCTTAACTTGATTATCAGGATATCTCTTAGCATTTGTCTCTTCAAGAAAAGCTCGAGCATAGGCCATCGGTCCAGCATTTACCTGGGGGAAAAATACACAGCTTAGGTGCAGAGAACAAGCAGTTTATTGCCATTTTCTCTTGTGTTCCACAGCTTGGGGACTGGCCTCAGGCAACCAAGCCTGTGTGAAGAGCATCACTCCTCTCCTCACCTGAATGAAACCTGGAGAGTTTTACTGAGGAAGAGGGAGCTGGTGAGCCTCGCACAAACTGCAGATCTCTGCTGGCCTTTGAAAGCCCTCGGCTACAGTTAACCATCTAGAAAGCTCTGCATTTGAAGACATTTTAATGAGGGCAGCAGAAATACATGCACCTCTTGCCAATCCCAACTTTTCTAAACAGGAAGTGACAAAACTAACCCTAACAAAACTCCCTTTGAAGAATCTGCATGCTTGGCTGTGTGATGGGCTGTATTCTCAAGTGATGATCTTGTTAGAAAGGTCTTAACATTTATTTAGAGAAGATTTGACTGAAATAGTTATATTTGCACATAAACCCAGCAGTCATCAAAACTTCCAACTCCATCCCCTTACGTTTTTAGAGTGTGCTCTGATTGCACTGGAATACAAGATATGAGCAGAAATATAAAATAGACAAAACACGTCTGGAATGATGAAAAGCAGAATAAGAATTTAAGCAGATGCATTGAAAAAAAGAAGAAAAAAGGCAAATTGTCATTACCTTGACACTGACACTTCCTTGGAGTTTGAGCTGCAGTCGGATCATGTCCACTTCTTCCATTGTGCAAAGCTGATTGAGCTCTGAGACTTTTTTGGACATCTCATCTATCGCTACTTCGATAGGGTTCAGCTCTGTGCTGGTTTGGCTTATGACTTGAATACGCTTCTTCACGTAGGGAAACAAGTGACTGGCTGCTCAAAAGCAAGAGATGAATCAGAGAAACTCAGCCAACAGGAGAGTACTTAAGAAAGCAAAACAATTAAGTCAAAGTATCAACTCTTGTTGGCTGAGTGAACAACTCCATACAAATTAAATTCTCATCACCAAATGAGTGAAAGTGACACAGCAGGTCCAAATTGAATTTGATGTACCTGGCACTGGAAGAGCATTTCCTTTGGAATTCACCAGTGTTTGCTACTGAGCTCTGTCACATCCACGTGGCAAAAAGCTCTCACCACTCAGATTCTGGCATCCATAAATTTCTTCCGAATTAAAGCACCAAACGATAAGCCCGTATCAAACTTCAAACAGCTCAAAACATCCCATCAAGCATGTTTCAAGTTAAGAGGCAGGAGCCTCTAGTTTAGCTGAATTGGGTATCACAGATGAACTACTATTAAATCCTTAAAGAAGTAAGGAGTTACTTTTAGTATTCAACCTAAATACTGCCATGGGAGCTGACAGAGGAATTATTCATAGTTAAAACCCCTTCCTTCCAGTCAAGGCCTTTTCACAGATCTCAGAAATTCTGGCAAAGGTACAGTTATGGCACATTAAGCTTGATCTAACAATCTTTTCCTGATTGCCCTACGCACTTTGGAAGGCCTCCCTAACTCTGTGTATGCCCTCCTGCTGCAAGCATCTTCTGCCCATCAGCTCAGACCTAAATGAGCTCCAGCTTACAGGGTGGCTGTCTCCTTGGAGGGCAGGAAACCCATGACTTCCAGAGCTGGAAGCACGAGTCACAGCCAGGCACAACAGAGAGCCAGTGACCCACAGACTGCAGCCAGACTGCACTTGTCCTCTGCACAACGCAGCAGCAAGCTCTGGAGCAGAGATGCTGAGCAGGTACCGTTACAGCCACCCATCCCTCTGCCCGAGGAGAATTAACTTCCACTGCTCCTCCGGTCATACCGGTAAGCCTTGCTTGCTTCCCAAACTAAAAGCACTTTTTTTTTTATGTAGGAAGCAAATGAAAACATATAACTTTATCGGAAGGGAGGGGAGAGGAGGGGAAGAAGAAGAAGAGAAGACAGACACTTCTTTTAGAGAAATCTCTGAGGTGAGGCAGGTGCCAGAGGGAAAAGCAGGGGAGAAGAGGTGGTCATCAAACTCCCACCTAATACTGAAGATGGATCCAGGCTGAGAGCGGTGGGAGCTGATGACAGCATGTAATAACCCAGGGAAAACGTTCTGCTGGAAGAACAACCCTCTCTGTTTTTGCCAGACATACCATACAGCTCCACTTTCAAGTCAGTGAAACTGCCTGCTTCAATGCAGATCTCAAAACACCTACTGCTGCTCAAGCACGTAAAATATCACACACACGCCACTCCTCCTTTCTTCTTCTTACAAGCAAAGCTGTGTCACTTAACAAGGTGCCCCCAGACACCAATGCCTCTCCTGACTTGCCAGAACAGAACTTTTAGGCGACTATGCCTGTACAGTAAGCAGCTTTCTTCACTTTGCCCTTTGGGGGAAGCAGATGTGCTGAAGTCGATGGGGAACTGGATTTTCTGTCACTCAGAAGCCTTTGCTGTAAACATCAGCCTCTCTGCTCATGGCTGCCCATGAGAACAACGCCTCCATCTCAGACAGTTTCACATACTCCCCGCCAAAATTCTGACAGGGCAGGTTTCAGTAGTAGTTTCAGAAAGGATGCCTCTTTAAAAAGCTACTTTAATTGTGATAAGGAACTAAATATTTTCTGTTTAATATGACCCAGCAAGAACAGACATACCCAGCGCTCCTGACATTCCTGTTTTAAAACACTGATTGTGCCCAATGAAATGAAATCTTACCCCTCACTTAAAAAAACCTCCATATAATGTATCTTACTTCCATTTTGAACAAAAATTCCTATCTTCTAAGTTTTACTCTTCTTAGCAGAATAGGCACCCAACTTCGCTTTTTCTTTGACTTGTTTATTCTTAAAAGAACAATGGTTCCGAGGGCTAAGCTGCCTCCAGCAGAACCACTCCCAAATTACATCACTGCAGGAACAGTTAAGATGTCAATAATAAGGAAAAAGAAGACAGCTGATAACTCCACAAATGAAAGTAACTTTCCCTAGGACGGTCAGCAGGATTGTAAGAAAGTACGTATTTTGCCAATGGACACACCAAAAAGCTTACTTATCGTGCTGCACAACAGGCTGTGCCCACTCACTGGGGAAAACCTGGCACATGAAACGCACTGCTGGGCTTAACTGGCAAAGGTGGGATGGTAGGGGGGAAGCAGCTGGAGCGAACGTACTTGTCAGGATTGTGCGCCTCTTGCACTGCTCTTCTACACCCCCGTGCTTTTTTCCTGAGAGCGTGAAAGGTGTTTCAAACACAAAACGGTTGATGTTGTGATGCATTTCGAAGTCAGTCTTTCGATCTTCAGCTTCTTTTTCCTCAAAGAAAGGTGTGACATATGTCACCTGGATATACGCATATTTTGGATCCAAGTCTTTGGGGTTGACCTGAGTAACAGTGGTAAACATAATAAAATTCCGTTAAGTGTGATGAGCTTCCAAGGCATCCATTATATTTCTGATGCTTTTATCTATCCCAGCAATACCGATTAAAACTGAGACTTCCAAATGTAATACTCAGACAACAGATTAATATAAAGATATTTAACCAGGAGGTCCATAAAAATATAGCTATTGGCAAAAGCGGATGAAAGCTAAACAAGAGAGAAAACAACCCGCCTCTGCGCTGCAGTAAACACCTGCGTGCTCTCTGCAGGCATATGCTGGAATACGCTCTTTTCCCATTGACTCTGATGCCCTGCTAGAACATTGTTGTTTCCATACAGCACCTGCCACGCTATAAGGTGAGGGTCTTTTTTTGGTTGTAAAACTAAGTCACAGTAGTTTACACATACACGCAGTTCACATTCCTTCAAAACACAGCTCTCAAAACAAGAGCTGTGCACTCACTTCTCCCCCTCCTGCAAGAACTGCACATCTTTCATACCTTGTTGGAATCCTGGATGATCTTCACGTTATCTATTCCAAACTTGTCTGCATAAAGTTTCATCAGCCTTTGAGAGATCTCAGACAAGCCGGTTAATTTGGGTTCTTTATATATATACTCTTTACCTTCCTCTTCTTCAAAAAAACCCTGTTTGGAATGAAATGGAAGGATACAGTGAACACAACAGGCAGGGCAAAGCCTAAACAAGGCGCTTACATCAGGAAGCAAGGTTGCCTGTATACCCACCAGAGCCTCCAGTATGCCATTTCCAACACCTAAGTTAAAAGCTTACCTCTCTCCACTCCTAGCAGACGTATACCTAGAGGTCTACATTTATACTGGTCTGGTATCTCCAAAGTTACCCACGAAATAACTCATATGCATTTATTCATGTAACAGACCTAGCTGTTTAAAGAGTTAAAGTGCTTTCTTGAGAATGCTGATGTGTGTATGATGAAAAATCCCTAATAAATTAAAAACTGGGCATTAGAAGTCCTTTAAATTTTAGTCATTTGGTTAAATTAACTATTTCGGAAGCAGTATGCTAACAGAACAAGAGTGTAACAGCTGTTTGCTGGATGCCCAGCCCAGCTGGCGTGCGTGCAGCGTGCCACCTCCAGCACACCCTATCTGGGAGCTCTGTCTGCAGGCAAAGGCTGGGCACCGGGCAGGGCACTGCCGCCGGCAGCGAGGTGCAGGGCGCTCCTGCCCACAGTGATGTGCAGGGCCACTGCATGGGCAGCACCTGTGAACTGTTCAGGGCAGCTGAAGAGGAACTCTGGTAGCATCTGAAAGGCCATATGGAATTGCAGCATTTTCAGAGATAATTACTAAATGACTTACATTTGAAAAGAAAAAAGATGCACAGACTGTGCTCCTTTGCAAAAAAAAAAAAAAAGCTCAGTCTTGTTAAGGTCATTAACTTATCACACTGGATGGACTTGGCAGAGCTTTAATAAAAGGCTCCCTTGAAGAGCTGAACCTGTCAGGCTTCAGAAGAAATGCCAACCATATGTACATCAACACTCCAGGAGAAGCTCTCCCAGCTGAGCAGAAAGCAGCAGGTGCCCCATTAACAAGGACTGGATTTATCCCAACACCATGAGCAGCACCGGCCCTCCTCCTGGGATTTCACATGCTGCTGCTGAAATCTGGCAGTGTTAAACCACTGCAGCTGTACCCAAAGCCTCCTCCTTTCACCTTAACGTAAAGTGACCTGGAGGAAAATACCTGAGGCTGCAGGGATAAAGGGGAAAGGAAGACAGCATGAATGATGTCAGACCCAAGGCCCTTTAAACTTTACAGAACGTGGCTTGGACAGCTAATTCTACAATATTCCTAGGAAAACTGCCATCTGTCAAAAAAGAGAGAAGCACAAATGAAGTCAAGAGGTAACTCCAAAATCTCTTTGGAAGGTATTCATGCAAAATCCAGCCTTTTCATGTTGAAGCATATTTCAACTTTAAAGAATTAAATAAATTTTAAAGAATTAAATTTATTAATTACTAATTAAATTTATTTTAAAGAATTAAAATAAATTAGCTGTAAACTTCAATGTTTGTTTAGGAAAAAAATCCTAAGATTTATTTCAGTAAGGATTAACAAATACAGGCATATCTGGCTTCTCCTTCAGTGAGGACAAGAGGCAATAAAATTGTCTGTTAATTTAGCAAGTGCCAACAGCAACGTGGGCATTACTGGAAGCCAATGACTAATAGCAGCAACAGCAGCTTGTCCGATAGTATCTTAATCAGTCTCACAGTGACCTTCTAACATTGTACAATTTTTAACAATATTATCAATTAAACTCCATAGGCACATCAAGAACTTCACAGGTAATTAGGGAAGAAATCTAGAGGGCAAAAGCTGACGCTGACTTATTGAGCTGGGCAGGCAATTGACTTTCTATTGATTTCACTGAGAAAAGCCATACTCAAACACGCTACTCAGGACTGCTTCTGTCAAAAACCATCTGTTTTCTGTTACTATTTGATGTTTTCAACAGAAAACCTAACGTTTTCCAAATTAATTGCATAGCAAACGAATATAGTTTATCCTCTTAAACACCGATTCTGTGTATGCTTGCATGCTGGAACATAGCGTTTATATGCAAGTGCCAAATCTCTCTACTGATGCTGCACGACACACTAAGATGATATCTGTATTAATGGTTTTGCTGAAAAAAAGACCCTGAAAACAAAAACCTAACAGATTTAGTCTTGTCTCTAATGCAAGAGACATCATTTAAGTACATATTCCCTACAGTACTTCATCTGACAAGTGACAAGCAGAAGTTAATTGTGAGCTATAAATAATCGTATCTGCCATATGCTACATGTCTGGCAAAGACTATTGAAAGTAAGATTAAACACTTTTTAGGAGCCAAATATCCTCTAATTTCAGGATTTTAAAATATTAAGCAGCCAAGGTCACATTATCAATGCATATCCCTAGATTATTTTCATACTGGTTGGTTTTGCCCTGCAAGAACAATGCAGCCTTACAGATGAAAATTATTACATGGAGCAGCTGAATGTAGCGGAAGGGAGATGGCCTCCCGGCCAGTAGGTTATTGGTTTCCACTGAGCTCTGATGTGCTGCGAGTCAAGCTGTGACCCGGGATTGTAGGGCCTTCTTCCTCCCCATGCACCCTTGGGCACAGCCCGTGGAGCTCACAGTCAATTTGACTCTTCTCTGCTCTTTGCTAGAAGAATACACACTGTCCCTGCAGCTGCTGGGCTGAGGTAAGCCGCCTGCTTTACCTGCCAAGAATTTAATGGATCCTTCCCATCACTTCCTATGGTAAATGAGCACGTTGCACCTTCCTTTTTGTTAAGGAAGCTACAGCTGTTTTGTCACATTTAGAAAAGGGGACACATCTTCTGATCTTCAGATGTTAACCTGCAGTCAGCTTACTGCTACAAAAATCTGCCCTCCAACTTCTACAGCTTCTTGCACAGATAGGAGAACAAAACCTCAGCTCTGCCTTTACCTAACACTGCTCCAAAAACAAGTCTTGCATGTCCTTGTTTATCAGCACAAGTTTTCAGCTATTCAACACATGGAACAGCTTTTTCTTTTTTTAATTCAAGAGAGATCTTGACTTCTCAAAACACTCATCTGTAAATAAAATCGTAAGCACTGGCTAGCGTGGCCGCTTGGTGGTGCAATGAGATGTAGTCACCAAAGGCCCTTAACAGCGTGTGCAGCCTAAAACAGCAGCTGCCATGATCCGGCTCTCTGAGCTGGCAAATAAAGCGCTCTGGCGAGAACATCCTCCCTATGGACTACATTCATTCAAGCCATCCTTCCAGAGGGTCCCTGCAGCAATGCAGTAACCAAATACTGTCTCCACCTCTGCACAAAGAACAATGGTTTTCAGGTGCAGCTTGCAGATTTTCTTTTTCCACTAAGAACCCCCAAAATTCTCCCTGCAAACAGTATCTGCAGTATTCTTTTGTCCTTTAATCTGCTTTCTCTGTGGTTTTTGTTTCAGTTAAGAAACAGCAGTGTTCCATTTTTACAAAACATATGTATGTATTTATTATTGATACAATTGACAAAAATGCTTAATGAATAAATGCATATATGTAATAATACATTTTTAATAAGTGTGTGTGTACGTATGTATCTACCCACAGGTATTTTATAGACCAATATATGTAAAAGACTGAACAGGAATCCCATACCTGCATACCACGCATCTTATACCCGCATACTGAGTTCCCTTCTGGAGCATTTCCTTTGTAGCGGCCCAAGCAGAGCGATTCATACTGGTTTACACTGGTTAACTGTGTAATACTAGTAAGACCTGCAACCATTAGCTTTTGGGAGGAAGTGTGCAAAGTCTGCCAGAAGCACAAAAAAAGGGAATAGCTTTTAATGTTCTAAATGAATTGGGCACTGAGACTGCTTTCAGCATGGAGGCCTGCAGTACTCTTGGCAACAGAAGGATGAAAAAGCCTGATACCTTTCCACTTGCACAGCCAAGATGGAAGCAAGTGGCACACGGGAAAAAGGGACTGACAGAAATACAGAACGGAAACCTTCCAAAGGGAAAAATATGCAGGCACAACCGGAATATGGGAACAGATTGCTCTCTCTGTCTCTTCTTCCGCGTCAAGCTTCATCTGTAGCTCCCACACCTGCTATAGTGGTTTGTGTACTGGTGAGCCCTCCTTAATCAGTTCTGCACACCCACTCCTGTTTTCCTTGGTAGATGAAGCACAAGGAATGCTGATGGGAATGATCTACCTTTAATTATTTGCACCGTGCCATACATTTTTGTCATTATGCCTCTGCAAGGAGCAATACAGAGCAGTCCCACTTTCTACCACATAACATCTCTTCTGCAAAAGGGAAGGAGGAAGCTGTGCTTGTTTGCATTTAGAGCTCAATGTCCAGGAGCACCAGGGAACAGACCGAGCAATACACAGCTATGAAAAAGTCATATGGTTCAGAGCACTAAAGCTGTTTAAATGTAGTTGTCCTTGTGGCACTGGCAGCTGAAAAGTCATTGCGCTGTAACAGACTTTTTAACCCAGCTCAGCAGAACTGCTGCAGCTAAATTACCCACTTACAAGTAGCTGCCTCTGGCAAGAAGTTGCAAGTAGGAAAGGCCCATTTTCCCCTCAGCTGCCCCCGTTTTGAGGAAGGACTTCTTGTTGCGCTATGACTCCCAATTTGCTTGCTCCTCCAAGGAGAAGCCTGCCACCAGGCAGGTGGCCGCACCGTGCCCAGAGCGCTCCATTTACCACTGCCGTACATCACAGACTGCACAGGCCAGGAAAGCAGGCTTGCATTCAAACAGCATTAATGCTACACCCAATTTTTCAACAGAGGAAGAAGGGGTCCAATCCCGCTCCCAGTGAAGCCGAGAGAAAAAGTTTCACTGAGATGAGATGATGCAGCATTGGGCCTCATGGTACACACACAACATGGCGACAGATACAGCTTGGTAATTCAGGTAACTCAATGAACAAAAATTAGTTTGCAGGATGCAACAATGAATGAAACGATGTTATTTCATCTGCCATGAACCAAAGAATTGAGAGCACAGGAAAGTTAATGTTCAGTAACAGTACAGGGAAGGGTGGAGGACGTGTGAGGAGAATTAAACAAAACATGCAAAGAACTAGACTTACCACAGCCTTGAATAAGATCAAAAGGAGAAAAGAGCAAATTTCTGCATTAAAATCTAATTAGCAAACAGAATGATTCATATCAATCTGTTGTTTACACACCTTATTAGAGTAAAGGAGATTGTCTGCTTGCCAAAACCAGGTCTTAAAAGAACATGCTGGTTTGCTACACTGGTTTGTAGTGGAAGAAAGCACAAAATAATGCTTTGAGGATGCTGAAGCACAGCAGAGGGAATAAAACTACTCTACAGTACATTGCACAGAATCAGAGGTGGCCTGAAAGCAGAAGTTGGAGTCAGAAAGAAACACAACAAAACACCTACTGCATACTGCTCTGCTTTAAGATGTATTTGAAGAGAGGGCCATATATCAAAGATGCCTTATCTGGTTTTATTTAAGTTTTACTCTGAAAAAAAACCCTGCCCTGCCTCTGTCTCAGTTCTGCTTGATGAAGTCAAGAACTAAAGCTGATGTACAGGTCTGTTCTCCATTACGCCACTAAATCCATAGCAGCAGTTTACACAGATGCAACTGAGTGCTCTCTCTTCTGAGTGAAATCCTCCTTGGAGTATAACCCACAAGGCACTTTCTACCCCATGAGTCACTGCCAAGTGTTTCCCTGTTTTAGCTTCCCTGAAATACATCAGGACTAGAAGAATGTGGCTGAAATCTGTGAATCTGTGGAGACAAAAGAACACAAATTGACTTACCTGCCCATAAAATGCAACACGGTAATACCGCCCAAAGAGACGTTTCTCAGAGTTCACTACTTCTGCAACCTTCAGGTATGACCGGTGGATGTCGTAGTACAAATCAGACAGTCTCTACATTAAGAAACAAAGAGAGTGAGGGGAAGTGAGAGAGCACAAACGTTTTGGGAAACGACACAAAGGCTCTACGCAAGCATGGCTTGTCTTAGCTGGATTACCAAACCTTTGCAAAAATGGCTGCACATGCTAAGGTTTAACCTTGCCAGCAGTCACTAAAGATTCACTGTCATCTGAGCACGCAGTTTTGTGGCAGTGGGCCACTGGGCAGTGGTAGGGACTGCCCAGAGAACCTAAGTGTCTTATCTGCAGGTGAGAGCAGGGTGCCAACAACTCCACTCGGCTCCCAACACCATGCAGATATGCTATCCGCAATTACCACTAGAAAGCATTTTCTCAGGACAGTGAACCAAAATTTCAACTAAGTTTAAATCAGAAGATCTGCTTCCTCAGCGTACAGCTTATAGCTACCTACTTCTTTGCTTTTTTTAAATTTAAAACCAGAAATACTAGTAAATGAGATTATAATCTGGTTATCCATTATGTATTGAAATTGCCAAGTAAGTAAGAAATGAAGAAACCCTGGAATTGTGAAGACATCACACAATCTATCAGCAGTGTCTAAACTTAAATACAATGCAAATGTGCTCTTGGTTTAAAACCACATGTAAAAATTCACATCCACTGGCTAACACAAGAGGTTTGTTTGAAAGTTTTTGTGTTCATTTACCATTATACTGATGCGGAAAAGAGTAAAAGAGGAAGGTAAGGTACCAGAGGCTTTTCATTTACTCCCAGCACAAAGCATTAAAAGGAGAAATTACAGACAGGAAGAAAAAAATATTCCTTTTAAAGAAAGCACTTCGCCCCCCCCACTCCCTCCGTCGATCTTTACTGTTGTCTTAAGATAATTTAAAAAAAAAAACAAACCATAAACCAACTTACTTTAAAGTCCCTCTGCTTCTCAAAAACAGCAATGATAGGCTTGTTAACCTCAGCAATAAGCTCGTATCTCTCAGACTTCCACAGGTATTCAACACACAACTCCAGCTGCTCCACAAGAACATTCTGCAATTCCACAAATACAAATGGGTCAGTGATTCAACAGCTGGTGGCATTTAATTAATAGCAATGAAGCAAAACCAACATACCCACTACACCATTTTTGTTCTGTATCTTCTATATTAAGGTTTATTTCAATGACAATATTTAATCAAGTATTGGTGACTTAGCTCTTCTTTAGTTAAAAAAAAATGAGGTAACAGTAACATGGAAATACTTGAATACTTGACGTCTCATTCAGAAGAATAGGGTTTTTTTTTTTTGTAGGCTCCCCACTGCCCTAACTTCCAGCTCTGGTACTCAATATTCTGGTTAGCCAAACACCTATCCTTGCTATTTAGTACAACAGCTATGACATTGCACTCAAAAGCTGTGCACCTTTTAATACCGCCTGAAGTACACTCTCACTATAATTTGTTGTAACATGCAAAGGCATCTGTTAGAAATAACACCCTCTATTAATACAGAACAAGTATATCAATGTTAATGCTGCTGACCTCATTATAGGGAGTATCTTGCATCCCAGAGTCCTCTTTCATAGCACCTTCTTCTTTAATGTTGGGGGTAATGCTCAGAAAAGCAGGCCATCCCATGGAAAATAAGCCTTGAAGTGCAAGTCACAACAATGCCAATTAATGACTGAATGATAAGGTAATTCAAAAAGTTATTCTATGCCATTAAAACAGAGAGATTTTATTTGACTGGATTAGTTACTATTTTCACAGCCCAAGCAATGAGAAGCACAAATGGAACTGACTGAATTTATGAGACTATTACACATTTTCTCTATGATCTAAAACTACTTGTCCAGGCAAAGGGTAATTATAACATTTTCCTGATCAATCTTATTCTTCTCTTTGGCATTTTGGTTCCTTAGCTGTACAGTGCTGGCTGTCCTTATAAAACTACATGCACAACACTCATCTACACAGGAATTACCGTCGCAGGCCAAGGTGAGACAATTTATACTCATGAAACCAGTGCTGTGACTCCTGGCTTGACCTACAGATGCTTTGTGCTACACGCTGGGACCAGCACTCGTCCCACCCATCAGGTTTCCCGAGTGAGAGGGGCACAGTTGCCCCAGGCTCACGGCAGCCGATGGGGAGATGGCCGCTCCGGAGCACGGTGTGCCCTGGCCGGGCTCCAGGGCACCCTGGCAGCAGCTCTCCTTACCCTGCCTGGGGTCAGCAGGGTGACCCCAACCCCAGCCGAGGAACTCTCTTGTAGAAAGCTCAGGCCGGTGGCAGAAGGTGCTGATGGGAAGGCTCACAAGGATTAAAACCAAGCTTACATTTAGTATTTGCTAAGCTGGGGCCTTTTAGTGCAATGGTTGCAGAAGGAACAACTTACGCAGGCATTGCACATTACAGATCAGGCAGAGTCTAACCCACAAAGATTTTACTACCGCTCCTGAATGGCGAAGGTAAACCTGCCAGTGGAGGTGACAAACTCCTGACATGGTTCACGTTCAATTTAAAAGAAGGAAGATGCTAGTAAGGCACAATTAAAAAGCTAACCTTTACACATTGAGACAGAGGGGCTCCTTCCCCTCTGTCAAGTTTTGAAAATCATTTAAACATAGGTTTAAAATGACCCACAAGTTCTTCACTCCACTTACTGTGATCTCTTATTCATGTGAAGTATTTTAGCACTAGTGAACCATCTCCGAACTATTGCTCTTCACAGAACGCTTCCTTCTAAAAGGATGCATTTTTTCATCTCAATGCTTCCAAGTGTATCAGAGAACCATGGTCTGTCTAAAACTAACAGTTTTCTCTTCCCCAGATATTTGCCTTTGCCCCCAGGAATTGCTCTTTGTGAAAATTGCTAAAATATCTCATGCTGAGAATTACTTTGAAACACACATTTCATAAACTAAATAACCACCGGCATAGAAGCATTTAATAATATAAGCCTGCACTTTATTTCTCTAATAAGCATCACAGATTAAAAAAAAAAAAAATCTTTATCTATACTAAGTTACATATGGATAACCAGATATTAATTCCACCCCCATGCCCTCCCAGCTTTGGTTAGTTGAAGAATTGGACATGGATTTGCGTGATAAACACCAATTGACCTGAGAGGGATTTCTGTTGCTCATGAAGAGCAGACTGCTCTCTTCCTGAAAAAGCCCATAACCAGAGACAAACCAGCCAAAGAGCATCAGGAAAGTAACATACAATGTTTCTGACACTACTTGCTTGCTATTACAGCCATCAACATGCACTATAAATATTTCTGCTTTGGTAGATATTTTTCCAGATCAGCTGGAGAATTTGTTTCCCTAATTATGTTATTTGACCCATAAACAGGCATGGTTAGAGCACTCACTTCCTCCATTGTGAGTTGTTAGTAACACATTACTATCAGAGACTTGACCATCTTCCAGGAGCATACGTGAGGTACAAATCTTTTCCATTTTCCAGTAACCTATGATAGTGTAAGATGGTATTAGTACACTGCTACTGGTATGTGTTAATACATGCATATTTAATAACAACAGGCTAACAAGTAAAGCATTCTTTTTTAGCACAACCTTACTAAACATTTAATTAACCCTCTTTACACAAAACACACATTTTCACTGTTCCAGTGCTAAGACTAGCATTATGATATATTTTAAAAATAAAATATTTGGGAAGATTTCAAGCAGCCTTAAGAATACTTTATATATAGAGAAGGAAAGCAGGACAGCCAAAAATTATTTTCAGCAATAATGTTTATAGATGCATAGTTGGTTTTGAATATGTTGATCTTACCCTTTCTTTTCAGGTACTCTGCAATGAGAGCGGCGATATGAATATAGCACATAGCAGCCTGTAACGAGAGACCAAGATACATGTATGCATTAAAGGTACGCTTGTATGACTTACAGCACACGTGATAAGGAGCACATACTTTCATCACTGTCAAGTCATGCTGCAGAAAAGGGAAGACAAAATTAATATAACTATTTAATAAAATAAAGGATTAAATGGTGAAATCCTTCTCGAGTGTTAATTTCACTTGGTGTCTTAGGTAAAAGCATAGAAAACCATTAAGATTACTTATTTACTAAGATATTCCTGGGTTACGCACTGGAGTTTTGCATCACTCATCTAGTTTTTGATGAAAAGGACAACGTGCTATAAATGAAGCTCCTCTCCTATGCTGTAAGTGGGGGAGAAGAAAATCCTTTATGTAAGTTATGCACTGCTCATAACCCCATCTGCACTACACCTACTGTGCCTGTTAGGGTTAAGCAGCAGAGATGCTACCACGATACTGTCCGCAGCTTCCCCATCAGACGTTTTCAAGTCTTGCTCAAGCACGTATCAGGTAGTAACAATTTGGCAAACTGGGATAATGAGCACATCGCATCTCTAGGTGTTTTTCAAATCTGTCTTCCTCTAATTTCAAGTATATGAGAGAAACTATGATTCTCTTAAATCAGTACTGTTGCCTGTCTTTCAGAGCCTTTTTCATCAGAACGTCTCAGCCTAAAGACAAATGGATTTTCTATTCATTTATTTACATTACCTCTGATAAATCTCCATTTCTTGCGTGAATCTTGGCCATGCTTTCAAGCCATGTCCTACGTAATTCAGGAGTGCTGGCATATGAATTTGCTAGGCTGTACTGCAGATCCACAAGCATCTCAGGGTCCTTCTCATGCTCCTTCATCTGAGCTGTGGCCATTAAAACTGTTCTGATGCGTTTGGTCAGATCCTTCACCTCTGCTGGGAAATTAACGTTCTTTGGGAAAGATAAGCAATACATCACTAAAACCATCAAAGAGCCACATGCAGCACCCCTGAATGAGCTAAAGTCCTACTTATGGAAGACCTTCTTCCCCTTCCCTAATTCAGTAGGCTTTGAAGCAGTCACAGTTCCACAGTACGTACACACTGCACACAAATCCTTGAGTTTTTTCCACTGATGTGCGATAGCACCTACGAGATATCCCAGGCAGCCAGCTGTAGCGCTGTCTGTATGCAGCAACTCTCCTGAAGTCAAACTGAAACGTTTGTTCCTTGGGTGCTTACTGGATGCCGGACTGGATTCTCGTACACTTTCAGCTGACAAACAGCACCGTGCGCTATAGATAGTCCTGCTTAACTACACTCACAGCATGTTTCACCGCAGTGAATAAAGCACAACAGTCTGGCTCCTGGCCTTCTCACACTGCGCAAGATTAAAACAGAGTCCTTGTATTACTCATATCAGCTCTTCTCAACATATTTAACTCAGCTCTGCAGTTTCTCTTTTTCAGATGGGCAATGAAATACATTTGTATTTTCAGACTTTTTCCCCCTCGTTCCCTTTGTTTAAAAGTAAAAACATCCAGAAAAATGAAATGAAATGAAATGCTCTCTCCTCTATGTGACACAGAGATGAGCTTGTTACAGAAGCAGTGTGACTGACTGCAGTGCTGGGAAATCAAAGCTGGACTTTGGAAACAAATACAATTGTAACTGCACCTTATTAAAGAAGACACCAAATTACTTATGCTAATTATCTACCAATTTGTTTACACTAACTTTATTATTAACCTCAGTGGAAATACCCTAAAGTCACCTTCAGAGGAGAAACATCTCCAAAGCATTAAATTCAAAATGCATGTTAGCAAATGTTTGGACAGGAATTGTAAAAATTAAAAATTGGAATCCTTCTCCAATACCTTTAGTACAGACAATGAATATAATAGCAATGGTAACTAATCTAAGAGCTAAGTGCCTTTTTCAGGGGGTTAACAAGCTGTTACAAAACCCAGCTGTTGTACATGTTTTTGCTACCTGTTTACTGAACAGACTAAAGAGACAGTTTGTAGACTAAAAATTACCTTCTCTGACATCAGAAAAATGAACAAAATAAGCAGTCAATAACAAACAACACAATTTCCAAGTAAAAATTTCTCTTTTTTGTTTCAAAAATAATTTTCAGTTATTAAGTTTCTGAGTCACAAACATTTTCATGAATTTCAGGCTGCCAGAAAAAGGCACACTATGAATGCATAAATCACTGTCTAATAAGAGCCAGCAATTTTATTCACTGAAACACTTGCTCCTCTGAAATTGTTGACCTTTTGCAAGAGGTAGTGATTGACAAAAAATGTTTCTTACTTTCATCTGCTTGTCTCCATTAGCAAAATTATTTATAATTGCAAGTGAATGTTGAAAACGAGATCCACCAATCCCTGCATCCGCTATCAGCTGGCTCACTGCTTTGATGAGCTGTATGGGGGGAGAAACACCGGGTGCAATTAGCAAAGCAAATCAAAGTTTCTGAATAGTTTTTAATCCTTATTTTAGTATGACTTGATGTACCAGGCTAGCAGAGATGCACTTTTACAACTGTCTAAAGAAGATAACATAGACAAATGCAAGAACTGTGAGTAATCTTTCCAATGTTTGCAATTGCTCACATTTTGCAGTGTAAGTGCATTGTTACTGGACTTCACATTTCTGTTACTATACTGTCAGATTCTGTGTAGTTCCTTCACCAGCTATGTTCTCACTGCTGTAAGCAATGCATGTGGATCAAGAATAGCCATTTATCTGGCTATTTATTGGCTATGTGGCTACACTCACAGCTGTTGTCTCTCACTGGAACAGAGCCAAGCAGCCCAAGAACAGCAGAGAATCCAGCGCAATGTCTTCAGACTTGGCAGGAAAATCAAGCTGCCACAGAGAGTTGCCTGTCTGAGGACTCCGAAAGAATTGCTTTGCTACAATGCATAAAAATAATAATGATAGAAACCAACACACATCAGCTGAACACTGGTGGTCTCACACTTCACTTACCTGTAGATGGGATCTGACTATTGATTTCTGCTTGTTAAATTCAAAGTTCTTTCTCATGAAAAAATAAAGAAGAGCAGATGCCTCTGTCTGAGTTGAACGTGACCTATGGTTACAACACTTCAGGATTTCATAGCAGAGTGAACCGCAGAGATCTGCTTGTCCTTGGAAGAATGCTGATGGGAACTATTGAAGAAAAAAACGTGTGAGTATGTTTAGCACTACTCTCAGGCATTGGTACAATTATTCTGAGTCAATAATTTTTCTGTTAAGCTTTCAGTAAAAACAACCCTCCCATATTCATTCACACCAGGGTTTAGCAAAAAAATTAGCCACTGGATAAACAGAATCTCATGTGCAAACTAAGATTAAGTAAAAACTGCACACAGGTTTTTGTACAAACACCGTATGCAATGCAGCAATCAAACTGGCCTCCAGGACGTCCAGACAGCAGCTGGCACACAGCAAGCGTAAAAGCAGAGCAGCCTAGCTGCAAGGAATGCAGAACAGCTAACCAGGAAAAGCATGTGTGGGGTTCTGCACTACTATAAAAGATGTTCAAGAGAAAGAAAATATTTTGAGTAGCAAAGTCAGCGAACTTCCAGTGGTCAAGGGTTTGAACAGCAGGAGACAACAGAGAGTGAAGGATGGCTCTCCAAACCATGCCTACTATTTATCATCAGGGTGGATATAACAGAAGACAGACCTAGGAGGGGTTGGAAGACCCTTGGAAGACTTGGCTACAGATCTCGAGTACCGCCCGAGAGGTTCTGCTGCAGGAATCCCTGTTCCCACAGAACTACGAAGACAGAATTCAATCCCAACAGCTACAGGATGAATGAGAAGGGTGATCCTGGATATTTTTTTTGTCCTCTCCATTGCACAGAGTTCTTTCGTTCCTGACTGTCTGGTATGTAATTTAAAGCTGTCTGTGGATGGTTTACTTTGTATTTCCCCCATGTCCTCAAGCTATGTTACTAGGAGAAGCATGATTTCCTCCTCCTCTCCCCAGAGATAACAACCAGAAGGAGGCCACATGGTTTAAACTGATCTACACTGCTGTGTTTCACAGAAACATCTGGGAGATCAGGCCAGCCTTACTTATTCTCACTTCCCCACAGCAATTGATACCTGTGTGCTACATTCTGGTTAAAGAGGATCTCATCTAAGTCTGTGACTTGGAAATTGTCTAGCCTTTGCAGTTGGCACAAAGTGTCTAATTGCACATGATCATTTACACATGTGCAATGCAAGCAAATTAAGTTTGATACATAAGCATGTTTTTGTCCAAAATCTTTTCTGTGTTGAAAACAAGGTATTTGTAAAACTGTATTAGTTTGGATGAAGTTTTGGTGAAGTGTATAGAATACTCTCCTGCTAGCTCCTCTGGGGACAGCTGTAACCATTCACCGCTGGATTCTGCAACCTAGGTATCTGCCATGAAGACCATGGACCTCTATGGTTTCAAGCTTTCTTCCACAGGTGGTAAAAGCATGAAAGCTAATGACATAGCCAGATACCACAGACCTGGACATTACTTATCTATTTACTTTACAGGTTTCACTTTCTTACTAAATTTTTCATTTTCCAAAACAGAACTGATTTTTCAGATATTGTGAACTTCACTTTTAAGCAGCATTAATCAGAAGATCTTTGTCCGGAATAAGAGTTAATACAGTGAAGTTCAGACCTCTTTCAAAGTGCCTAACTGTCCTCAAGCTGCACTTATGGTAAGACATTAATAGGTCAGAGTAACAGAATAAAACATATTTACCTTGCCTACAAACAGCCGTAGGGCGGCAAAGACATGCTTGAGAGCTGCTGCTGACTGGTTGATTTGCAGAAAGAGCATGTGTGTGTCAAAGACTTTCTTCATCAACGCATTCTGGCAATCAGATTGCTGAAGCTGCCGCTGGAAAGTTCACAGACAAGACAGGACATTCTGGTTATTAAACAACAGAAAAGGATCTGCTGGACTTTACATTGGAGTATTCCTAGCAAAATGCTTTTTCCAATGTAAAATCTCTGCAGATGAGGCATTCCCAGCTCACTGCAGACTCTTTTTAGTTGCAGTTTTTCAAGGACAGCACTTCCCTATGCCTGTACTCCTACTTGTGGCTGGGATATACTAAATTTAAGGGCTAGGGTGACAGAAAGGAGACACTAAACCTAAAAGGAGCTGTCTGCCGTATTGTAGCTGAGAGACTTCCAGCAAGTCACCTGGGCCAATATTCGTTGAGCAATTTTTAAAAAGGCAGAGGATCCACCTGCTGACTTGAAGAGATATAGATGATGAGCAGTTCGGAAATCTTTTGTCTAAAATCTCTGAAATCTAGTGGGATAAGCATGATTCAGGTAAGGTGACATATTAGTACATGCACAACACTTCCATGCAGAGCAGGGCTGTGCATAGCCCTGGATACGTAGGATGTTCTTCTTCCACATCCTTCTATTCAGTTTGGGTGCTACGAGTCAATTCCATCACTGAGGACTGGCATATCTCATTTCTCTATCCTGCTGTCTCAGGCATTCCAAGTATTCTGTGTGCCTGCTCCCCCAGGCCTTCCTTCCACCACATCTTCTGCACGCCACCAGTTCAAGCAGAAAATGGAACAGCAAAACATACCTGGTGATTCAGAGTGTAAAGACACAACAGGTCAAGGATTGTGAGGGAAACTTCTGTAGCAATGTTTGCCTCTGTGTCTACATACTGTACAATGTCCGTCTCATTGGAGCTGCCTGCAACATGTAAAAAGCAAGACGACAATCAATCTTCTGAGTGTAGTTAAAGATGATTTAATTCTGCAGTCTAGTCATTAAGTCTCAGCACAGTAGAGATGGGGTCCTGACTGTATGGTTAACCGAAGAAAACTGCTCACAGGAGATGAAAGGGGAGGGAATTTGAGTCAACTTTTACCAGCTGCACCAGTGATGCGAGTATATTCTTTCATTGTTTCTGTTCATGCTCAAAGGAGGAGAGAAACCTAATTGGGAAGTGGGATAGATGACTTTGATCTCATCATTTAGAGAACCTTCTGTCATGAAAAGGTCACTTTTATTGCTAGATCTAATAAATGTAATATTTCAGCCAGTGTACATCTGCTTGTACAGCAAGGTATGTAACCATAGATGTAAGAGATGCTGGGAAGGGGGGAATAACTTGTCATTAAGGCTATTTAGATATGTCAGGTTACTGTAATTTATTTTGTTTCTAAATAAACTTTGACCAAATTTAAGATCTGATGTCTTAGTCTCCTGGAAAAAAAGGAAGAGTCAGCAGCTCTATTTATGTTCAGGCTCTTCTCCTTAGGCTGTCTTTCACTGGCACTCATGAAAACAGGTTTTAATTATATAGAGCCTGACCCAAACCCCATAGAATTCCCGAGGGAAGTAAACAATTTTTGTACTCACTTGCAGTGCTGCTGTCTATCATCTGCAAGAGTTTGGGGTTAGAAAGTGCATTTTTGCCACGGATTATTGGTAATGTTTGAGATCTGGGATGCTTGTGGCCATCGTGACTAGAAGTAGAATGCATCCTGAAATTGAAAGGTACCATTAAAAATCAGGAACAAAGAATAAACTATCATGCCTATACAGAATTTTTCCATCTCAGTTAGAATTTTCTGCAGTACTTCTCAAAGGCCAAGGTAAGCAAACTGATGCAAAATTTAAGAGAAACAAAGATGAAGAAGAAAGACAGTGAGGTGGACAAAACATACAGATGTGCTATGATTTCTTGAGATCACAGGAGACAAAACACTCATTGAGCACTGAAAAAAAGCATCAGCTGAAATAGCTGGCTGATGTTTAGAAAACTGCCTTTGGGTGAAGAGAAACTGAGATGAGTTCTGTTAACTCGGAATACAAGAAAAATGTATCCTGCTCGTGAAAGAACTAATACAGCTTCAGCGAGGGGAAAAATGATGACAAACTGACAATGGCAGTAAAAATATGCACGTGTGTATGTGTGCTTTCTTTTAAACCTCTTTGATCCTGACAAACACATCATTAATTTATAATTAGAAGCTCAGAACTAAAATACCAATGCTTATCATAATTTTTGAAAGGATTTTGAATTTGTAACCATTACAGAATTCAGCAAGATTTAAATTCTCTCAACATTCAGGTCACTTATTAAAATACGCTTTTATTAAATATCTTTAAAAAAATGTAGCTTCCTACATTTGCATAATTTAAAAATATTCAAGGACAGAATTACTTCCTGCACCTAGCTAAACCTTCTTCTTTGTCAGTTATTTTTACAAAAACAATTTAGAAAATTAACATTTCAGATTTAAAAGTTCCTAACACAGGTACAGGATTGATGGTCAGACTTTTGCCAATCAATGTGATAAAGCCTTCCATTAATGGTCACAGTGGAAGGATTTGGGTGGGCATCCTGGCAAACTAATGGATTTGGAATATGTGTAGGTTTAATCTGTTTTTTTTTTTTTTTGCTTTTGTTTTCTTTTTTTGGGGGGGCAGTGCTGGAAAGCGTGGTTTCATATGAACATTGCAGCAAACTGAAATACAGAAATGTAAGTGCAAGTTAGAGCTGATCACCAGCAATACTTCAACTCATCATCAAAAAATGCTCTGTAATCCAACAGGCCAAACAAATAGCCATTTGGACAACAAATGTTGATCTGTGAGGGGGTAAAGTGTGAAAGCCCTGGAGACAGCAGAAGTGTGACTTTATTTTCTGGATTGCCACCACGTTGGTTCATCTGCAAACATGCAACAAAACAAGAGTCTCCCAAAGGCTGCTTGCCAGTTCTGGCTGGAGTAATGAAATCAGTGCTGCTTCTTGAAAACTGCACAGCAGAGGAAAAAAGAAAAGTATGGCAGAGAAAGCATCTTTTTTTCCCTTTGTTCCATTCCAAGAAACATGCTTATGACAGTGAGCATATTCTAGCTATACATAAATGAGAAAAGTCAATGATCCAAGCTCATGAGGAAGGGGGACTATCTCACCATGCTCTTAAGATACAACCACAAACTACACAGAATTAAAAGTTTGCTTTCTCTCTGGAGTTTTACATTATTAACATGAAAAGGATCCCACTTTCCTCTAAAAGGATCAAAAAGATTATTAAAGATGTGCTGCACCTGCAGCTTAATACCATGCAGTCCACGAAAATGATTACATCTTGCAGTGTTTAGACTAGGAAGATGGGGGGAAAAAAGACTAGGAAAGAAAGATTCTCTAAGTGGCAACATGGACATAACAGTATAGGACTATGCTACACTTAGCAGCACGGAAGTAAAAAGATGGGTGTTAAGCAAACCTACTCTTAAGTTTGACATTGTGTTCCTACATATGCCCCGCTCCACAACCCCAGGTTATTTGGGGAGAAACGAATCCCCTGATATTGTAAGTGCATCCACAGATATTACCCCTAAAGCAGTAAGATTCCATGAGAGCATAAGGTTGCAGACCTATGAATTCCTTCAGGTTGGGGAAAACTGTGGATTGTCTTTCAGATAGGGATTTGAGCTGACAACAGAAGCAGTAGCTGCACTGTTTCTGCAATACATAACGGTATGGACAGTAACTAAGGATTCTTCTGAACATAACATTTTAAACAACAGCTTATAAGTCAACTTGAAGTTAGAGGGACACAATTCTTTTGCAGTTTGCAGCTTGGGGGGCTCTGTAATGTGTTACATGTTGTGTCAACCTCTTTTCATTCAACACTGTGATAGCGTACAAAGACTCTGGTTTTACAGGAGTTAATAATACATGTCATTACCATTGCGAGAGCAGACCTGATGTCTGGCCAGAGGAGTTCGAACCTTTAAGGGTTCCATTATTCTGGGTGGCCTGAACAAACTTAAAAGCAGCAGCAATTTTCCTGTTAAGAGAAAATAACTGTTAATCTATTATGGAACGTGACAGCGATTTTGCCATGCCTCTGAAGAATAAATACAGGCCTGACAAAACCTGCCATGGAGCGTGAACTGGCTCATCTGGTGACCTTTCATTTTCCCACAGTATGACATATAGAGAAGTTCACAGTGGTAACATTAAATTTAAAAATGAAACATCAACTGAGACAAAGCGTGCATTTCACAGCTGGAACACGATCTCATGCTTTTTCAGAGAGTGGGTAGAGACAGAAGGTTGATTTTTTTTTTTCCTGTGGAACATTTATCTATGCCCATTAATACTATTATTAACGATTATATTTCCAAACATTATATGGATGAAAAATGCAGTGTTCAAGTTCCTTTGTTTGGTATATGCACAGAAATATGGTTGAGAATGGCCCCGTATTTCGGGGTACAAATGCAATAGTGGTGATCTTACCATCACATGCACATGCACATCTTTTACACCAGTTATGTACTCAGATGTCCAGAACATCACAATAACAATTGTTTACATAAAATAAAAAATGAAGCACACATTGGCTTCAGTACGTCATACATACTTTCAGGAGAAAACTGATAGAAACACTGTTAACCTCATTTAAGCCTAATATAATGCAGTAATATTTAAATACTGTAACATAGTCTATAACTAGAGAATTACCTTACAATACTGCGTTTTCCTAGATATCTGAAATTTTGCAGACAAACCCTGAAAGATAAAACAACACATTTTATGTCTATTAATGGCTTCCTAATTATGACAAAACGCTGACTCTTAGTGCCTCGAAAGGACCTGTGGCATAGGCACCTCCTAGTAAGCAAACAGAGTAGAATGCAGAAGTTCCCAGCCTAGGAATGCACAAGACGTGACACCACTTTCCACACCCTTGTTCCCTTTTCTCCACAGCTGAAGATTCCTGCTTGGTGAGGATGCAAAGTCAAAAGTAAGGACCTGGCTGCAAAAGCATTGCTTCTTCACCAGTTGAAGTTAAATAACTCACATTTCACTCACGAGATGGTGAGGAAATTCTGAAAACAGCTACCTGCATGGATTCTGCAGACATGCGTAGATTGGATAGGGCAAGCCACCTTGGAGATGTGAAAAACAGGAAATCCTAAATGAGACAGCTTTTCTTTTGGTTTGTAAGTTTTTGGGAGGTAAATACTTTTCTTTTCTTAGGGGAAGAATAGATTCTCAAGCCCAGATGGGGAAACTACTATGAAAATCTCTTTTAGGAGAACACCCAAAGCATTATGCCCCCTGTTCATGGAAATTACCAACATACTGGAGGATATGGATTGTATTAGTAATGTCTCATTAAGACTTTGGAAGATTATGGCAAAATAATCTAAGATACAAGAACTATCTCAGCATATTCCACTAGGTGGACAAACCCAAAGAGAAATTATTTGCAGCAGTCACTTTAGAACATCATCATTTAACATAAAATCAACCCCAACCACAAAGCGAACTTACTCTAAAATGCTGAAAAAGTCTGTTATTTCTGAGAATGGTGCTCGCAACCAGTAGGAAATCAGTGCACCTAAAGGGAGATATTAAAATATATTATGTATCTGTTACAGGGAATTAAACTTGACCCAAAGCCTGTAAAATACACTGATAATTACTCTAATTTAACGTTTATTTAGATTCAGCATTCACAATAGTTTACAACAACGTGTATTAGGTAGTGAGTGCACGTTTTGTTACCTTCTGAAATGGTTTTCATAATGTGAAGGAAACACATAAGAAGGCTTCTAGTTTCAGCTTGATCCAGCTTGTCAAAACGAAGAGTCGATCCAATCAAAGACAAAGGTCTCATGATCTGTTGAATTGACAGCAAAGGGCCTTGTTAAGTATAGTGATAGGTTTCCACCTCTAGTAACCATTTTCAACATTTTCACATGTACCTTTTCACACGTGTCAGTTCTCTCACTGTTTTTTTCATTGGTACTTGGGTTAGATTCAAGACTTGCTAAGGAAGCTCTGGAGTCAGCATGGTTTGCTGCAGAGATAGCTATTGATGAAAAGGCTGTAAATGAAAGTCATAGCAAACATGCTAAACTAAAACATTTATGGATACAAAAACTAACAAGAAAAATGGAAAACTTAAAATGTGTCACATGCTGGATTGACACCAGTGCTTTGAACTTCCAATAGCAAAGCTATTGATGGGTATGCTTAGTACTGAAAACATGCAACAAGTTGAAGTAAAATGATTCAGTTTGCCGTTATTTGTGACATTTTAATGGCCTGTTGCATTCTGTAAGGCCTGACCTAAAGCCACAAAAATCAGTGGAAAGATGCTTATGCACTTCCCTGAATTTTGAAACGGGGTTTGGAGTAAGCGAACAAAGTAAGTTGTGTTTCTACCCTTCCATTAAGCCTGGAAAAACTAAGAATACTTGCCTCCAAGAAGCTTCAGGAGTTTTCAGGAGAAACCTTGGAACTATTCTTAAGTCAGGCAGAGACTACAAGAATGAACTCAGGCACAGGATTTGTGAAAGCCTGAATACTGGCACCGTTCCGAAGCAGGAGAGTAAGCAAAGCCGTGGAAGAAGAGCGGCTTCACAAGAGAAATAAATATCAATCCAAAAACACCCAAAGGGAAGAGAAACATTCCATACCATGTTTCCCTAAATATGGTATAAAATGGGTTAATGATATCCTCCATGAATACTAAGCAGAAAGCATGATGGTTTGAGATACACAGAAATCTACCTGCATGTGTGTTCAATCTGTCATTTATACCTGCTATAGAGTTCAGAACATCTTTGGAAAAGGAGGTGTCCACAGAGTTTGCATGTTTCATTGCTGTCTGGCTCTGAAATCCTCCGGTTGTGCTCAAGTCATCCCTAGATCCCTGTATTTTGAAAGAAACAGAACAAACTCCAGTAAATTATATCACTCATAACTTTCATAATGACACCACACCCGATAGGCTTTTCTTAAGACACTGAGCTTGAAAACCTACTTTCAGTTGTTTAGACATGACAGCCTTAAAAGGCTTGCCATAATACACCCAATAGTTACCTGCAATATGAAACCCTCTTATACTTGAAGTTGTAAAGGACTGATAAGTCTGTGTTTGCTTCTTAACAGTAGCACAGCATTGGGAAAGGAGCATTAACTGCTGTTAGCAATGATAAGATGAAACAGGCTTGTTTGCCGGAAGGACTGAAAGACACAACACCCCTGTGGAAATCTGTTTCTAATTTTTAAAGCAGGGCTACAATTATAGCACATCTAATCTTTTAAGAAATAAACAAACATCCTCCTCCATGTGTGCAATTTACACAGGCATTTTCTGTGGTGGTAAAGCTGTTTTATGATGTTTCTGTCCCTCCTTCAGCTACTTGTGTGCATTCCCTCTGCCTAGTTCATCGTCCCTGTTGTACCAGTGAAACTGCTTGTAGGTTATGACATAACCCTGCAAAGAATCTGTGGGCGATGGGAGTTTTTCTTTACAACAATGTCTCCCAGCCACTTGCCAAAGGACGTGCCTGAGGACAGGGTCCTGAGTCCCCAGCTTGTGGCACCAGGGCAGACATACCGGACGGGCTGGCTGGGGCTGCAAACCTCTAACTTTGAGTTTCCAGCACTGGGACAGCCAGTGTCCTGGGTCTGTTCCAGACCCACAGTCTGCACCCTATCGGTACAGACTCCCAGGGCTCTGCAGATGCTCTGCAAATCAAGACCTTCCAAATTAAACATTGTGGGTGCAAACAAATCAGCATTTTCAGAACTGCATTTCACTAGCTAATTTGTGACCAGCATAAACTTGGACCTCTTCCCACCAGATTGACTGGGTCAGACCTCAGTTCGATCATTTCAGTGTTCTGAAAAATCACATGAATTACCTGATTGGAAGTATTGATATTGAAAAGGAACATATCCTTCATGTAAATCCTTGGCATATTGTCCAAAAGCATTCCATAGAGTGGCATGTACAGGTTTGCTATTTGTGCCTGTTTTGCCTAAAAAAAACCAACAACAACATAATCCTGAAGAAACTAATGAATGTATCCTAGTGGCTAAGGAAGTTTCATATATATTTAGCTACTGTATGAACAAGCAAATGAAAAAGAACAAACAAACAGTTTCTTTACCGGCTCTGCGTATCGATCATCAAATGAATGCTTTGCCATCAAGTTTTTAAGCACAGCCAAAGCTAGGTGCCTAATATCCTGGTCTTCTTGCAAGGCAAAACCAACCTCCCGCAGCAGGACTCCAATTAGAAAATGTTTACGGCAAAATTCATTGGTCAGTGTATACTCTGGAATATCTTGGAACAGAAAGCACCGAATGCTTAAATTAATATATAGGTTATGAAACACCTCCTCCATTTTCCAAATTTTCAGTAACTTATTGATTTAATCCACTGTTAAACCTTTATTTCCGGATCTGACTGCCCCATTCTGCTCCCTCACTTGCTAGAATTAATTAATCTAATATTATTATTTCTTGCAATCATGCAGTTTTTACAATTTAATAATAAAAGACAATTTATATACACATTCCCATATGAGAATCTCAATTTTTTGGCATATAAGACTATTCACTTCTTTGAGGCTGTCGTGGTTTAACCCGGCTGGCAACTCAGCACCACGCAGCCGCTC